GTAAATTAAACACATAACTTTTGTGTTATAATTATAAGGTGGATTTGCTTTGTTTCACATTTCTTCTTAATATAAAGCAAACAAATGAAATGAAAATGTAAGTTTCTTCTGTTAGATTTACAATTATATAAGGAAAACAGGAAAGGTAACATGAAAATCTGCCTATATCACATCTATACAGAAACAGATTTGCTGGATTTGCAGAGTAGATAATGCATGTCATCTCAAATATAAACTACAGCAGGTGACTTTTTGTGGGAAAGTTTGTTCTTAATGTTGATAGTAACATATGTTTGCTTGACATTAATTAATCTCTATTGCAAAGAATTGAACCAGAGAATCAGGCCCACTTGGTCATAGAGATAGTCAAGGAATGGTCTGTCCACTACAATTTGGTGTGAATTGTCTGCTTATCGTGTCTCATAGTTAAACCAGGTAGTTTGGTAGATTGTCATGTATGTTTTTAATACAACCAGAAAAAACAATCATATAGTCTTGTCTTTCATTCTCTTTCTCACATGTGTGCATACACACATACACACACACACACGTGTGTGTGTGCATGCATACGCATTATTCTGATACTGCTCTAACTTTCAGAATAAAAGTTTGAATCCTCTGCTACCTGCTAGCAGTATAATCCTGGATGAGTTACTTAAACTTACTTTGCTTCAGTTTGAGGGCGAAATGAGAGAATATGTGTAAGATGCCCGGGACACATAGTGAGCACTCAATAAATGTTAACTGTAACTAGGTGACAAATTGGGGTCTATGGAGATTGGAACTTGCTCAAGGTCATTAAGGTAGTTTGTGACTAGTCAGGATTGGAATCCACATAATGATTCTTAATTCAGCTTGCTTTCCTTTATACTAAGCCATCTCATTAATTGGCAGCTATTTCTTGTGTCGTAAACTTTCCATATATGAAGTGTTTGCCTTCCCAAATAAGTTGTAAGCCTCGCAAAGGTTAAAAGCATGGGTTATCCTGAGACTTTGCTGAACTTGCTTATCAGTTTCAGGAGGTTTGGGGCTGAGACGATGGGGTCTTCTAGATATACAATCATGTCATCTGCAAATAGAGACAATTTGACTTCCTCCTTTCCTATTTGAATGCCCTTTATTTCTTTTTCTTGCCTGATTGCTCTGGCTAGAACTTCTAATACTATATTGAATAGCAGTGGTGAGAGAGGGCATCCTTGTCTGGTGCCACATTTCAAGGGGAATGCTTCCAGTTTTTGCCCATTCAGGATGATATTGGCTGTTGGTTTGTCATAAATAGCTTTTATTATTTTGAAATACTTTCCATCGATACCTAGCTTATTGAGGGTTTTTAGCATAAAGGGCTGTTGAATTTTGTCAAAGGCCTTCTCTGCATCTATTGAGATAATCATGTGGTTTTTGTCTTTGGTTCTGTTTATGTGGTGAATTACATTTATAGACTTGCGTATGTTGAACCAGCCTTGCATCCCCGGGATGAAGCCTACTTGATCATGGTGGATAAGCTTTTTGATGTGCTGTTGCAATCGGCTTGTCAGTATTTTATTGAAGATTTTTGCATCTATGTTCATCATGGATATTGGCCTGAAGTTTTCTTTTCTTGTTGAGTCTCTGCTGGGTTTTGGAATCAGGATGATGTTGGTTTCATAAAATGATTTGGGAAGAATTCCCTCTTTTTGTATTGTTTGGAATAGTTTCAGAAGAAATGGCACTAGCTCCTCTTTGTATGTCTGGTAGAATTCAGCTGTGAACCCATCTGGACCTGGGCTTTTTTTGGGTGGTAAGCTCTTAATTGCTGCCTCAACTTCAGACCTTGTTATGGGTCTGTTCAGGGTTTCGGCTTCTTCCTGGTTTAGGCTTGGGAGGAGGCAAGTGTCCAGGAATGTATCCATTTCTTCCAGGTTTATTAGTTTGTGTGCATAGAGTTGTTTGTAATAATCTCTGATGATGGTTTGAATTTCTGTGGAATCTGTGGTGATATCCCCTTTATTGTTTTTTATTGCATCAATTTGGTTATTCTCTCTTTTCTTTTTTATTAATCTGGCTAGTGGTCTGTCTATTTTGTTGATCTTTTCAAAAAACCAGCTCCTGGATTTTGAAGGGTTTTTTTGAAGGGTTTTTTTATTTTTTGAAGGGTTTTTTTGTGTCTCTATCTCCTTCAGTTCAGCTCTGATCTTAGCTATTTCTTGTCTTCTGCTAGACTTTGAGTTTTTTTGATCTTGCTCCTCTAGCTCTTTCAGTTTTGACCTATACACCAATAATAGACTTAAAGAGAGCCAAATCAAGAACAAACTTCCATTCACAATTGCCACAAAGAGAATAAAATACCTAGGAATACAACTAACAAGGAACGTAAAAGACCTCTTCAAGGAGAACTACAAGCCACTGATCAACGAAATAAGAGAGGACACAAACAGATGGAGAAACAATCCTTGTTCATGGTTAGGAAGAATCAATATCATGAAAATGGCCATACTGCCCAAAGTAATTTACAGATTCAATGGTATCCCCATCAAGCTACCAATGACCTTCTTCACCGAGCTGGAAAAAAACACCTTAAACTTCATATGGAACCAAAAGAGAGCCTGCATAGCCAAGTCAATTCTAAGCAAAAAGAACAAAGCGGGGGCATCACACTACTGGACTTCAAACTATACTACAAGGCTGCAGTATTCAAAACAGCATGGTACTGGTACCAAAACAGAGATATAGACCAATGGAACAGAACAGAGGTCTCAGAGGCAACACAACATATCTACAACCATCTGATCTTTGACAAACCAGACAAAAACAAGCAATGGGGAAAGGATTCCCTGTTCAATAAATGGTGTTGGGAAAGCTGGCTAGCCATGTGCAGAAAGCAGAAACTGGACCCCTTCCTGACACCTTACACTAAAATTAACTCCAGATGGATTAAAGACTTAAACATAAGACCTAACACCATAAAAACCCTAGAAGAAAATCTAGGCAAAACCATTCAGGACATAGGTGTAGGCAAGGACTTCATGACTAAAACATCAAAAGCATTGACAACAAAAGCCAAAATAGACAAATGGGACCTAATCAAACTCCACAGCTTCTGCACAGCAAAAGAAACAGTCATTAGAGTGAATCGGCACCAACAGAATGGGAAAAAATTTTTGCAGTTTACCCATCTGACAAAGGGCTGATATCCAGAATTTACAAAGAACTAAAACAGATTTACAAGAAAAAAACTAACAGGCCCAATCAAAAGCAGGCAAAGGATATGAACAGACACTTTACAGAAGAAGATATACATGAGGCCAACAAACATATGAAAAAATGCTCATCAACACTGGTCATCAGAGAAATGCAAATCAAAACAACATTGAGATACCATCTCACACCAGTTAGAATGGTGATCATTAAAAAACCTGGAGACAACAGATGCTGGAGAGGATGTGGAGAAATAGGAAGACTTTTACACTGTTGGCGGGAGTGTAAATTAGTTCAACCATTGTGGAAGACAGTGTGGCGATTCCTCAAGGACCTAGAAATAGAAATTCCATTTGACCCAGCAATCCCATTACTGGGTATATATCCAAAGGATTACAAATCGTTCTACTATAAGGACACGTGCACACGAATGTTCATTGCAGCACTGTTTACAATAGCAAAGACCTGGAACCAACCCAAATGCCCATCGACGATAGACTGGATAGGGAAAATGTGGCACATATACACCACGGAATATTATGCAGCCATCAAAAACGATGAGTTTGGGTCCTTTGTAGGGACATGGATGAACCTGGAAACCATCATTCTCAGCAAACTGACAGAAGAGCAGAAGATCAGACACCGCATGTTCTCACTCATAGGCGGGTGTTGAACAATGAGAACACATGGACACAGGGAGGGGAGCACTACACACTGGGGTCAGTTGGGGGGAAACAGGGGAGGGACGGTGGGGGTGGGGAGCTGGGGAGAGATAGCAAGGGGAGAAATGCCAGATGTAAGTGATGGGGAGGAAGGCAGCAAGTCACACTGCCACGTGTGTACCTGTGCAACAATTTTGCATGTTCTTCACATGTACCCCAAAACCTAATATGCAATAAAATAAATAAATGGGGAAAAAATAAAAATAAAAAAAAATAAAAGCATGGGTTAGTGATTTCTTCATCAACCATAGGTTCTAATGGAGAATTCTTGCTATTGTAGGGGCATAGCATTTATTTGTTAATTGTGAGCTTTCAACTTCACAATAGTTAACCTGAAATTGTTTTATTCATCCCATTTTTCTCATTCTCTCTTTGGTAGTTCTGTATATAAGAACAGCAAGCCATTATAATTCTCAGCACAAAATTAAAATTGCACCATGCACAACTACTATCCTCTCCCTCTGTAACTCCTCAGAGAAGAGCATAAAATTTTCTACTATATTTCTGCAATATGAAGAAAATAATTTAATTTACCTATGCTTTGGTTTCTCCATATATAGAACTTATATACAGCATTACTCAATCACCAAAGAATTCCATTATAATTTAGCTTATTGTTATGTTAATTCAGGCATAATCCAGGCCACAATATGATCCCAAGAATATAACAAGTACCCAGAGGGAAAACCTGGTAGAATAACTCAAAAGTGGGAATTATTTTTAGCTTTGGATGACTTTTATTTAAGGAGCTCCACTCACAATGCATTAGTGGCACTATTAACTACATTCACTAGTAAGCTAGTATTTAAGGTACATTTTGTACATCTCTATGAGAGTATACCAGTGTATCAGGCATTACAAATTACTATCTTGATTGCCTTTGGAGCTACTCTTTTTCATTTTAAGACAGAGTCTCGCTCTGTCACCCAGGCTGGAGTGCAATGGCATAATCTCAGCTTACTGTACCCTCTGCCTCCCGGGTTCAAGTGATTCCCTTGCTTCAGCCTCCTGAGTGTCTGGGATTATAGGCACATGCCACCATGCTTGGCTAATTTTTGTATTTTTAGTAGAGATGAGGTTTGATCATGTTGGTCAGGCTGATCTTGCCTCTGCATCCCAAAGTGCTGGGATTACAGGCGTGAGCCACCGTGCCCAGCCCTGGAGCTACTCTTAAGAGTCAACCTAGTATATTCTTGTAAAGCAGTTGCCTAAACAAGCTTCCTCTTAAATATGCCTTTGAAAAGTATAAATTCCTCTCTAACGGTATCTGCATTTCATTTTGAAGAACTTATCAGCTTTCAGCAGCAGGTGCGCATATCCTACAAGTTTCAGTTTTCTCTTGATGCTCAGGATAAACTGAATATCTACACAAGGGAGAATCTGGGAAGTCTGACTTACTGGACTACTTGGACTGGTTTGTCCTCACAAAATATAAGACCTACAATCCATAGGCTGTTACCTAGCTCCTGAGAGCTAACCCACAACCCCAGATTTTTAGTCCTGAAATGCATACCCAGGAATTCTTTTCCTGTTTCTGTGAATCAGGAAGGATATGGCAAGCCAAGAGAGAAGGAAAGAACTTTTGAGCCTTGCCTTTCAAGGGGTATCAGGAAATTACTCAAAAGACTGCAAAGTGCTCTCTGCACAAAAGTGCTGGAAGAACTGCAGTTATGTTCCCTTGAGGAAAGGAAACTTTAAGATGATTTGGAAATAGCCAAGTGTAATCACATAACAACCGATTTTGAAATTTGCTGGCATGTGACACTCCTCTAGGAATTCTTGTTTCTAGCTCGACCTCATTGTCAGCAAATAGAATTTCCTGAGCCTTATTAGGAGTCTGACATTTTGTTTGAGAATCAAAACTTTTCTGTTTAAAAACTAGAGCCAAACTCAGTTATATATCAACAGGGATGTAAGAGAAAGAGCAAACAAGGAAAGCTATTATATTATATATGTGAAGAACATAACAGTTTGAAGAGGAAGACTTCCCAATGGACCAGAAAAATACTAGAATGAAATACATAACTCGGTTATACAAGGTAAAAATAAGTTACTGGGCCTTCAGCATGGATATCATGATAGGTCATTAATTTAAATAAGAACTCCTAATATGCATGTAGCATTTTATCAGTTTGATGGTGCTTTACATGGGTTGCTTTTCACAACAGATAAGTTAGGGCAACTGAAGACCTGGGTTTGAAAACATATTCTGCAAAGTAAGCTCATCACTGTGATAACCTGACAAATCCTAAGGACTCCACAGCTACAGTAAATAGCTTCTATAGTTGAATAATATTCCTTCAATAAAGTTATAAAGATGGGTGTCCTTCTTCAATGCATAGCATGTTGGAAACTCAGGATACTTCAGAAAGTCTCTTCGTCCAGCACTCTAACTTGTGAAAGAAAATATTGCCATACAGAGATTTGGCTGTACTCTTATTTCGTGTTAACCTAAGGTACAGAGGGTATAAAACCCTTTTAGCTTATTGAAGATGAGCTAATTCCCAACTTTGCTGTAGTAATTGCTGAACATGGGAAGTTGTGGGGTCTGAGTTCTAATTCCAAGTAATTCTTTGTGTTTGTCATTGTCTGTGGCAGCTTGCTTGCCCACCACTGTGCCAGTATCATTATCTGTGACAGGAAAAATGGAAAAGACAGCTTGTCTGAGCCTCAGCACTTGGATGGCAGATGTGACAGAGATAGATAAATTGGCCAGAACAAGTATTTCAAACCAGAATGATGCCCCCAGGCCCAGTCTGGGGCCATCTATAGTGTGGAAGGCAGCTCAGACATAGGTCAGTTTGTTCAGGAGACCACACATTATGATCTGCTGAGGTGTTCTTCATCATTTTCACTTGAAAATGAGGGGCGGCTGTTTTTAGGCTGTCAGCCTCAGATTTGAATTTCATAGTGATTAGGTGTTCAAATGGCTGCTCTCTGCAGACTGTTCAGGGGCTGTTAGAGCCACACAATTGCACTAAAATGAACAGAAGCGAATAGCCTCACCAAACCAGTCTTGAGTCACTCCTTTAAGTGAGGCTGATTAGGAGGGTAAGCTATTTTTAAGGAAAAAATTCAAGAAATCAGTCTGTCCAGAGACTCAAAATTATTTATCTTGGCATTTCTCAGTGTCAGCTTTCCTCATCATCACTTTACTGGCATTAGGCTTTGAGACATTGTTCTCATCAGCAAGATGGTTATTTTTATGTCTTATCAAGGTCTCTAACAGGTCCTATGACACACAAATGTTAGAAAGGAGAATAAAGCAACAATTGCGTGAAGCAAGAGTACATGGGAAGAGAAACAGGAAGGTGATGTTGCCATGCTCAATTGTAGTTGAATATAAATTTTTAATATCTTTGTCTCAGCCACTGTATAGAAATAAGACATTTTCAGATTAAAGGATCCTAGATCTTCATTGAATCCTACCTCTTTTAACCTCAGCCTTTTTGGAAAACAGCAACAAACTCCAAGCTGTAATTCAAACTCTAAAATAAAAGGCTGGGCTGTGATTCAAAGTGTTTTCAATATTTTTCTGGTAGATTTTTAGTGATTTTTCATGAAAAGCACTTAATTCAAATGTTATTATTCCATCTTTTAATGTTTTAGTCAACAGTAAATGATATTCTCTTCTGATACACTCCTCTCAAAGTGGTGGAAGAGTTTGTGGCAAATTGCCATTTCGACCATTTATTATGCTTCTGTAATGCAGTATTGAATACACTGAAGCTGGGAAAAATTAACTAAACTACTTTTATGCACTTTCAAAAGAAGCAACAGAAAAACTTGGCAAAGTAATAATAATGAAATTGTATTGCTTCTCAATAGATTAATATATTTAATAATATCCTAGAAAATGCTGCACTTTGAAAGTTTAACATATAATTAATTAAGATATAATTAATTGTATATCTTAAATTAAAAATAACCATATAGTCCAGGATGGTTATTTATACTTTATATAGTCTATATTCCTTGTGAGATTTGGGGTTAAACCATCTGAGTTCAAATCCTGAGAAGACTGCAGAGTAAAGAAGGTTAAGATGGAGGGAAGGAGGAAAAGACGGAAGAAGGAAAGAAGAGATAGAGGAATAAGAGAATGGGAGATCGGTAGAAAGGGGAAAGGAAGATGGAAGGGAGGAAGGGGAAATACCTGAAGTTCATGAAGGGTTGGTGCTGAAGGGTACCTTTATCATTAAGAGGGTATTGCATTGTGAGCAAACAAAAAGTGTGCCCAGGTACAATCCTAATGCAAAATTTTCTGAGATTAAAAAGTATTAAGAGCTGGAATAAATAGGAAAGGTAGTTCATGAAATGTATTCAAAGAGATTTTAAAAATAGCTCAGGTAGAGAGTCTGTTAAGATGATATAGTAGACGCATGACTCTTCTTGATCTTCCACACTTTGCTCCATGGCATTCAGTTAACACTTCTTAGTCTCCTCTGAGTTCAGACAAATTTCCTGAGAGGAAAGTTGATGTTCCCTGGACACTTTCAGGATCTGTTTGTATCTCATGGGTATAGGTTGTAAAAGTTCTTTGCATAGATATGTCAGCACATTAATGCATTATTTGGCTGCATGTGACCTCTCCTCCTTGCATTTCCTCATTTGCTATTCATCTTCTTGCTTCCCTTCTTGCTTCAGCCGTAATAGTCTCTGGGGTATAGCATAAGTGCTTCTAGGGCACTCCTCTAACTGCATGGTGGTTGTTGCTGTACAATTAAAGGACTTGGATATTATAAAATGGTAATGTTTGGAGTTTTGCAATCTCACTCCTTAGGGGCAGGGAACAATGAGAACACCTGAAAAAGGGTCAGAGGCCAGAACCAGATTCAGGAAAGAGTTCAGCTTTCAGCTGGGTTTGTTCATTTTTCAGTGCTGCCCACATGAGCTGTCAGTTGCTGGAATTGCAGTGTTTCACGGAAAGAGGCGTCTAAGCAGGGGTGAAATCTTTAGACAAATGGCTACAAATGGTACTGAAAATTGAAACCTAAACTATAAGTGAAGTCTCTTCCTTAAATGATACACTCACACTTAACAATAAGCTAATAATGTGGTTCAGTAAAGAAAATGTGAGTCCAGATGGAAGAGTAGAGAATTTAGAAGGTGGGTAAGCAATATCTTTGATTTTAGCTTGAGTAGGGTTTTTGGTATTGATGCTGTTGTGTTGGGAGCACCACAGAAGGACAAAGAGTTCCTTTAGCAACGTGGCCTGGAGTCAAATAGGCCAACATTGGAATCTGAGCTCCACTGCTTTCCTCACCTGGAACTAATCACTTACTCTCTCAGTCTGCTCATCTGTTAAACAAACAAAAAAAAGATAATACTAATAATTGTTACCTTTGCAAAATTACATCTTTCTCTTCTGTACCTTTATCCTCTTTCTCTCAACTGGATACTTTCCAACAGAATCAAAATACATTCAATTATCTTCTGTATTAAAACAAACAAAACAAAAACCTCACCCTCAACCACTTATTCTCCTAAGTTATGGTTTCCCTTGACATTTGGGACTAGATAATTCTTTACTTTGGGGCTGTTCTGTGCATTGTAGGATGTTTAGCCGCATTCTTTACCCATGAAAACATTGTGTCCCTCACTCCACAAGTTGTGACAATCAAAGTTGTCTCTAGACATTGCCAAATGTCTCCTGGAGAAAAATATGCCCACCCCTCACCCCAGTTGGGGACCACTATTGTAATGACTCCCCCATCTCTTGTCTCCCTTGCAAAGCCACACTTTCCCAATTCTGCCTATTCTCTCTAGTTATATTCTTCACTTCCCTATCACAGACAATTCTATTCTAGTCTGTCTCTTGTTCTCATTTTACCAATAAAATTATTTTTAGTAAGATGAACAATAACCTCGATGGCTCCAAATGTAACGAATATTGCAATCCTCCTCTTCCTTGATCTTTCAGAATTTGAAATGTGTTCTTCTCCAGGCTCTTCTGACACTATTCTCTCTCTTGGCTTGATCATGAAGCCTGGAACTCTTGGAAAGCTGCTGCCTTTCTTTCCACTTCCTCACCATATTCTCTCACTGTGTACAGGACAGTAGCTCAGACTTGTTCAAATGCTGATTAAAGGGCTTCTCTGCTGACGGAGGACAAACGTCACAGAGCAAGCATTTGTCAGGCTTTTTCTTGTATCTCATTTGCTAGCAATCTCTTGGCCCATGCCCAG